TACTCTTGCAATTAGTAGAATAGACTTATAAAATCATGATATAATATGCGTACTTTTACAGCAAATTGACACATCTGTATCTGCAATCGAACCTACAGCCTCACAATCATAGTCATCATCACATGTAACAACAACAGGAAATGGTGGAACATCGACAGGTAGTTGACAATATACTGTTACACCATCTGTGTCTATCTGAGGTGACGATGAACTGCATGAAAATCCTGTGGGTGGAGAACAATTAGAAATTTGAAAAAAAACTATGCTGACCAGTGTACTTAATAAAAATTTAAAAGTGATTATATATTATATTTGCTTTAAATAAATGACAACTCACTCACCTGAAACTGAGTACACATCAACGGCATTCGTTGTACCAAATCCCTCGACGCAATCATCTGAGTTGGGTAGTGTTGGTTCCGATGATGTATAACATTGTCCACCATCGAAAAGAGCAAAATACAATGCTGCTACAAAATCTGCAGCCCTTGCGCATTTCTGACAAAAAATTCAAAGCACTGTGTGAGTAACTTAAAAACGACATATTCAAGCAAATATAACTAAACAACAGTCGTATGCAGTAATTTAAAAGACCAAGAACACATAATAACAAAAAGCCGGTAATTATATTAATAAGAGTAATTATATTAATGCGCCAGTAATAAGACATGTTGTGTATTTACATAGCAGTACTGAATAACATATTTTAGACATATGTTTAACTCGCCTATATAGGTATCAAATACATTATTTAAACACAATCCGACACCCACCCGGCATTACATATTACAGTATTAATGATTAAAACGTTGCATTTCATACGTTATCAGTATAACTGTACTTGCATATATATATATATTCAAAACAAGGTACAGAAACCACACTGCCTTATTTCGTAATCAGGCCTCTAGAAATGCGACAGAACTAAGTAAACATGTTTGGTCACTCAAAGAAAAAAATATTGAGCACAGAATAATATGGAAAATTCTTGCTCGTGGTAGCCCGTACAGTAGCTCCAGCAAACAATGCATTCTATGTTTGAAGGAAAAATTTATAATAATTTTTAGACCTCACCACTCCACACTAAACAAAAGAAACGAACTTGTATCATCATGCCGGCATAGATCAAAAGCCTTATTATGTAACACTTAAACCTGTATGTATTTTATTTTTAATTAATATGTTAATTTGCGAAGTATATGTATGTTCGTTGGTGCAGTGAATTAAACATAAAGCTCCTCATGAGTGGGGTACTTGTACCTTAGGAAACAGTGCTGTCGAGTTTCAATATTCATGTAGTTGTGTATTAATTCCTCTATTATCGCATATATATATATATGACATGTATGATATATAAATATCACTTCCGGTTGCCTGATAGAATATAAAAATAATAATTATATCACACCTACCCTCGCCTTGTCCTCTCTGGTAGTATAACTTTCACCAAGGTGAGGATTACCCGTACCTTCTAATGTTGTTAATGTTGGGTCACCACCTCCATTTGACCAACATCCAAGGTACATGTAATCTGCAATGATTGCGTAATATTTAAACAACATAA